TCCATGTTGAAGATACTGGCATTTTGGGTGAATAACAGCCAGTGCGGTCTTCCCTGTCTCTTGGTGACATCACCATTCCTATGTTGAGTTTTTTGATCCCTCTCCTGACCCTCTCATTTCCCATCAGTTGCCCTATACTGTCTAGTTTCTTCCCAAAGCTTCTCTTTCCATCTTCTCTTCTATTTTCCTGAACCACACCCTCATTAAGGCTCTCCTTGTCTGTGACCTGGACTGTTGTACAAGCCTACAGACCGGCTACACTTCCTGCCTCCTAATCCGTTCTGGTCCTGTATAGAACGTTAACTCACGCCTCATGCCCATACCCTTTATCCTCGTATTCAAGGTTGTCTGGTAATTCCAGCGCTGAGTTCTCTGTGGCAGCAAGAGGGCACTTAAGGGGAATGATTCAGGTTTCGTACATGCCTCGCCTGTTCTGTATTCTTAGTTCAGTGTCGCATGGCATGAGCCACAGAGACCCCTCTCTAAACAGAGAGGCATGGGGTCATTATCAAGAGAAAATACTGCGAAACTAGTACACTCAGTCCATTTCCTAATCTCAGATGATTCAGAAAATCAGGATCCAGAAATGAAACTTACACAACCCCCAGCATCACTAACACGAAACCAGAGGGAGCCGAGCCAAGTAAATGCTGGCAGATGGATCCGGGGAGAAGAATACAAACAGCAGGCTTGGAAGGGAGGACTCAGAGCTTGCACAGGAAATGGCTGGTCTACCACACCAGGAAAGGGAGCAGCTGCTGCTAAGCATGCTGTTTTATTTTTGTTCTGTGTAAAACCGTCACTGCCCCCACTCCACAGCCATGATCAGATTTATAGGCTTAGGATTTGTTTTCACATATTGTATTTCTGAGGAATGATTTGTAAAACTTGCTTTTTCTCCAGGCTGTCAACTTTCAGAAAAACCAAGCTTCAAAAAAATTCTTTTAACTTTTTCAAACAGAACTTTATACAGCCAAAATCTTATTAAAATAAGCACTCTTCTAGAATTTACACTCAAGGACAGTGTGTTACGGAGGTTGAATGCTGAGAGGATTATTTTGTAAGAGCAGCAACATACAGCAAACATTGCTCAGAACCTTTTCAGATGTGTGTACATATTTCTTCCCACTCGATGCCCATGTAAATAACACGGACTCAGCAGTTTTCCAAGGTGATCACCTTGGTACAAAATACCAAGGCCATTATCCAAATCCTTTCTTCTGTTAAAGTACATTTAACCTTCCCGTAAATTCTAAGTACCGCGGATCACAAAATCAGAGCTCTTGTTCTTTTTTCACAGCGAGCGCTCTTCGCTTCCTTCTTTTTCTAAGGGTGCTTGCCTTTCCTCTTGCTCGGCTTCCAAGTGGGAGGGAGCACTTCCTTTCTTCTCCGTCTGTTTGAAGCTGGAATGTGTGTGACTTGTCCCAGGCGGAGTGTGGTGTGGACTAGCAGGATGGGTCCCAATCGTAACTGACCCCCGAGGACAGCCTGACACGTGGCGGTGATTTCTCCTCACACAGTGGGGCCGTGCCAGAATGCTGTGAATTCTGGGGGGCTGCTTTCAGGGCCGTGTACATATTGTGGTGTACTTGTCATGTTACTCTCCCTTATTCTTCTATAGGTGAGGGAAGGAAGGCCTGGAGATACTAGATAACTTGTCCAAGGTCACTTAACTAGAACACCTACTGTCTCAAAGCTCCAGACTCTTTCTACCAAAGGAGAAAAGTGACGTCTGAGGCAACAAATAATTCTGTCCTTGAAAACTATTTTGTTCTGCTAAGTGAGATTGTGGATATTCTGAAGATAGAAGAGCCTGGCATCTCTACGAAGCACATGTCAACAATTGAGTTAAAATTGTTACTAACAGTTTAAAATATGTGAGAGCAGAGCCTCCTTGAGACGTGGTCGGGCCGTACACAGTTTCGCAGCCCCAGAGTCATCTGGCTCATGGTCTACTTCAGACGGAAGTGAGGGACAGGAGAGAAGGAGGAGAAGGGAGAGAGCGAGGCGGGCGCGCAGGCCTCCCCGGCACCCCATCTTGCTTTCTCTGTGCTCTTTGCTTCTAGACTTTCACCATCATTGTGTCACTTCAAGGAGTAGCTTATGTGTAAACTTCTTTTGGCTTTTGGGTACTTTTCATAGGGAAGATTATGACAATTGATGACACAAGGCATATGGAATGTTAACTTTAGGGTTAACAAAATAAGAACAGCATGAAGCTGTTAGTGTAGGATTTTGAGATAGTCAGAAAAGTTAAAATTCCAACCCCTTATACTGATCGGTAAGCCGTTCTTGTCTTTTAGTTAGCCAAGGCAGCAGCTTCCACCAGTCAGAATTAGTCGTACCCGGAAGTATTTCCAGTCCTCGTGAGTGCATCAGGCACAGTGCCATAGGAGATTTTGCCTTTACACCTAATGGGGTCGGGCTCCAGAAGACAGGACTTTACACTGTCATCCCTCGAAAACAGCCACATCTTGAGGAGTAAGGAACACTGTATTGACAAGAGCTGGCTTGGATGACTCTTTTAAGGAGTTCTGGTCGTCACTGGGAACTTTCTCCTCTGCTTACACTTCACGTTTATGACATGATTGAGGCATTTTATTTCCTTTTAACTGTGATTAAAAAAATGTATATCATGTCCGTACGCGGAAAATACATACTTTATTTGCTTCTGGCTTAGGATGAAGTATGTTGAGAATGGCTTGTAAAAAAGCCTTGTGTAGCTTTGCTGACCACACAATACAGCAGAAGCAATAACTGCAGAAGTTATTGCAGACTTTTCATTTGCTCCATAGCTCTACTATTAATTTTTAATTTTGGACAATTGCCAATGACCTTAATCTTTATACTTGACCTTCCAATCTACACAATCCGTTAATACCCTTTGAAATCATCCATTGCTGCCCTGGTGGACATGAACTCTGGCCAGGTATCTTGACTCTCATTGAAGAACTTTGTCCTTGGAACTAATTTCCCTTCTATTTCTGATTTCTAGTTACTTACTAAACTAATAGGAGACCTGGTGGCACAGTGGTTAAAGCACAAAAGGTGTGCAGTTCGAACACACCAGCCACTCCATGGGAGAAGAGTGTGGCAGTCTGCTTCTGGAAAGATCTACAGCCTCGGAAGCGCTATGCGGCAGTTCTACTCTGTCCCGTAGGGTCGCTATGAGACGGAATCGACTCAACAGCAGCGGTTTGGGGGTTTTGGTAGAAAACTAATGTGCTAGTTGTGGTTATTGTTGTCAAGTGCCATCAAGTGGGTTCCAGCTCATAGCAACCCTGTGTATAACAGAACAGAACACCAGCCAGCCCTGCGTCATCCTCATGATTGTTGTTACACTTGAGCCCAATTGGGGCAGCCACTGGGTCAGTCCGTCTCGTTGATGGTCTTCCTCTTTTTCACTGATCCTCTACTTTACCAAGCATGATGTCCTTCTCCAGGGACTGGTCCCTCCTGATAACATGTCCAAAGTACGTGAGTCAAAGTCTCACCATCCTCACTTCTAAGGAGTGTTCTGGCTGTACTTCCTCCAAGACAGATTTGTTCATTCTTCTGGCAGTCCATGGTATATTCAGTATTCTTCACCAGCACCATAATTCAAAGGCATCAGTTGTGCTAAGTAGTTGTGAAAACTCCTTACTTTTGAGCTAGTGTTCTATGCCTTTTTCAGTAGGGGATAGAAAATCAGAATGAAGAGGTAAACACAGGCTTGGAGTCCATCAGAAAACAAAGATGTGAGCTAAAGAACCAACTGCATCGCTTCCTGTCAGGGTGACCTGTGTGATCCATGACTGCCTAAGCCCTCCGAATCCCAGGAAAGTTGTGATAGTGATAGCCATGCCACCAGCTTCACAGGGCTGCCTGGAGGCAGTGTCTGAACATCTGGGAAAACTGTCAGCTTCTAAACAAATACTGTGTTATTTCCAGATTCTATTGCCTTTTTAAAAACAGCTTTATTCAGAGGTTATTCTCATACCATGGAGTCCCTGAGTGATGCAAACAGTTAACATACTCAGCTGCTAACTGAAAGCTTGGCAGTTCAAGTCCACCCAGAGGTGCTGCGGAAGAAAGGCCTGACAAGCTACTTCCAAAAATGCTGCCATTGAGAACCCTGTGGAGCACAGTTCTACTCTGATACCCATGGGGTTGCCATGAGTTGGATTCAATTCAATGGCAACTGGTTTTTGGTAATGCCTATACCATGCAATTCACCCATTTAAAGTGTATAATTCAGTGATTTTGTGTATAGTCACAGATACGTGCAACCATAACCATAGTCAATTTTAGAACATTTTCCTCAAAGAGGAACCTCATACCCTTTAGTTATCACCCCCCACCCCATACATTGCCTTTTAAATTTTTATTTTCTATTTATTTAGAGACACTAGGATAGCTTTTTAAGTTCAATTAAGTAAAATACGATTACTTGGGCTTGACATTAAAATACTGTTTCCTATGGAGAGTGTCTCTGTAGAACATTCTAGTTAGTAATCTAAGTGCATTGGCAGGATGAGGGATGGGGAGCCGAGTGTTAATAAATAATATTAGTAGGAAGATTACGACTTCCAACCTGTTTTCCATTTTAAGAAGCAGAAAAGACGAGTGGTCATTGTTATTAAAGTCACAGGAGCGGCCCACTAGAGCGCGATGGGCCACGGAAAGACTCGGAAGGAAGGAACGAGTGGATGGTGTTTGTGCAGAGAAGTGTAGTGGGAAGCCCCAGCCCACTCGGTAGCAAGGTGGTTCACATCCAAGGAAAGCAGCAGAGTCCGGAAGCTGCTTTGACTTTTCCTTAACTTTCTGAACATGAGTTTGACGTCCTGCAGCAGAACTAGGAGAAAGGAAAGAAAGGATGAGCAAAGGAGGGCGGAGGCGGGGCCGCTCCTGCAGTTCTCTGCTTTCTGTACAACGCAGACAGCAATGACGCAGGGTCCGAACCTGTGTGTGCGGTGGACTGGGGAAAAAGAAACTCAACCTTGGTCTCCCTTCTGTTCCAGGTCGCCAGATCCCACCCTTGGATCCCCATGAAAATGGAAACAGTGCAGGAATCAACATCGGGAATCCGACTGCGTCTGGCACCCGGCGGTGCTGCTGACCCGGGTGCTTGCCTGAGCCCACTTGAAGGAGCCGGGCTCTTCTCGTATTCTGCCTGGAGACTCGGGGGCGGCTACCCCATAGGCAAGGCGCGCTGGGCTTACTTGTGTTTACTGATCCGTAGTGCACAATTTCACCTGTTTTTCACCACATCATGTGGTGAAACCCATGCGCAATTGTGCGCTACGGATTAGTAAGTAAGCACAATTAAGCCCATGTGTACCATGCTTACCATAAGCCGGTGCGTACCGTGCTTACTGGCTAACCCTCCCCTGCGTGGAGCCCTCCGAATCGGCGGCGTGGCACCCCGGCGCCCCACTCGAGGAGAGTGAGCCCGTTGGCTTTGCATCCTGGGAGGCCGGCAGGGAATGGGGCCAAAAAATGTACCTGAAAAAGAATTTTAGAAAACTCTTGGGAAAGAACCCCCACACTGTTGCATAAAATGGCCTTTCATGCATGAAGCGCACAAGGCAGGGAACAGATGTTAGGTAATTAATATATGTAGAGTTTTTTGTTAAGAACTTTTAAAACATGCTTAAATTTGTCCAGAGGTCTTCCTGGCCTATTATGTGTGTGGGACTCCAGCGTGATGCTCCATTCTGATTCCCTGGGTTACCCAGTCCAAGTTCACTAACTTCTTAGAGCCCTTGTCTGTGCTACCTAGTCAGCCATCACTGAGAGGTCAGTTTAATTTAGAAGGTAAGCTTTTAGCTGGCTTTGGAACTAAGCCTTTACTTACTGCTTTTTGGAAAGAAATCAGAGAAGTGTAATTGGACCGTCCCTCAAGCTTCGAGACTTGAACTATTCAAAAAGAGGAGAAAGATGTATTAGAAACGGTGGTCTACATCTCAAACTTTTAATTGATCAGCATTTTTCTAAGTCTGGGCACATACGAACACACCAAACCTGACTAAAATATTGCATATAATTTTGGGATGGGGAGGCCTAGTTTGAAAGAGTCGTTGAAGTCGTTACTTTGTAAGCAGTCATTCATGTGGGATGTAAATATTACTCAGCAGACCACCTGGTACAAATCACCGCCACCATCATAAATCCCTGCTCTATTAGAGACGTTTAATGCACAGAGTAGTATTTACTAAGAGACTATGTCATGGTGTCACATCAAGGGCAAAAATAAACTAAAGGATGTCTGAGTCTAAGTCACAGGGCAAACTTCTAATCGCAACTGGCTGTAGGTTACGAGACAGCCACTATCAGCGCCTTAAGATTCTAGACCCAAAAAACTACAAAATCAGAGAAAGCATTTTAAAAGTTGCCGAACTTGGAGAGGTAGTTATCAGGGCAAGCCAGAGGTCCAATCCTGGAATGCTAATTAAGTGAAAATGGAGTTTGATAAAAACCTTCCTTTTCGTTCCCTATCTGCACAATTAATTACAGATGTCTGACTTCACAGGAAGTAAAGGGAGAAAAGATATGGAAAGGAAGAAAAGCTATTTCCACTCAAAATTCAAATCCTGTTACAGTCTAACCTTCCTGAAAATCTAGAATCAAGAAGAAGCTGATTTTCTATCAAGGCTTATACTAAGAGGTGGTTCTTAAAGGCTTTTCGGAACAGTGACTTCTGTAGGGCTAGGAAAATTGTAGAAGAACAGCCTTGGAAATGGGCATCAGGAGGCATGGTAACAAGTGCCAGCTGGTCCCTTCTTCGCCATGGCCCCTCAAGGGCCAGCAGATGTCTGTTGAAAGCTGACAGTGTAAAGACCTAGAAATGTCAGTAACTCAGTGCGAGCCACACTCTCGAGCCTGGCGTGGCTGTGCCTACTGACCTCTTAGCGGGTAGAGACATTGAGTCACGTCATCTACAAAAAGGAGGGTCCTTGAGACACCGATGCCGAGTTCACAGTTGCCACTTTCTTGTTAGTACAGCCTTCTGTTGGCTGCAGTCAGAAAAACGGCCAGATTTATGCTTTGCAACTCCGGAAGATGGTGTCAGTGTGATGTTCTGACTTTCCCTAACTTGCAAGAGTTGACTGACAGTCTTAGAAGGTGAAGGCTGAAAACACTTATTTTTGGTTCAAGAGCGCCTTAGCTCTCCCAGGCAGGTGCTTCAAAACTGTTAGCAAGTGGAATTTGACTGTCTTGACAGGGCTTTTGCAGGGACTTTTTGGGGTTTTCTCTGCATTGTCAACATTACTAGCTAACATGATTCTGCTTGCAGGCCAAGCAATAATCATGCCTCTTTCTAAAGGTTAAAAAAAAAAAAAAACTGCATTGAAAACTGAAGTGACCTCTTTCCAGGTGACACACGGGCTTGTTTTGACCCTTTGATTATCCAGCTCTCCCTGAGAACTCGGGTTCACTTCTAGGCTGCAGTTCAGGTCAGCCAGCAAAGCCGGCAGGCACCCCCAGCAGAGGCTCACAGCTTTGGGCTTGGTTCACAGAGGTCAGCACCTTGCATAAAATGGCTAATCTGAACCACTTGTTAACCTCAGGGGCCCGTGGTTTCCTTTCAGAAGCCGATGAGGGTGTGAAGCCACACTTACCTTTCTGTACCGCCTTAACTGTTCAAGCAGTCTGAGGACAAATATCTATATAGAGACGCACACACATTGGCTTCCACACGGGGTCTTCTCTGAAGACGACAGGTGTTCTGGCCTTGTCCGTCAGTGAGGCTTTGCCACGTTCCTTTATCTGGGCTCGGGATTACTTTCTGACTGATCTAATCATTGAACTGTGACCACATAATATCATGTGAACACCTGGAAATTACAGTTGCTCCAAAGGGTCACATAGTTCCATGTGGCGTAGCATCTTTCCCATCATGTCTACTTGCTACTTTCTACCTGTTGGCTTTCCTTTCAGATGTGGTGTGTGTACATATGTGAATATGACGTTCTAGTTGTTACCCTGACGTGGTACCCATTTCACGGACTGGGTCTGATGCCTGGCTCTCTGTTATATACTGTCGGGATGCCTTCTCGTAGGTGTTGTTTCCCGATGAAGTCCCTAAGAAGGGCCATTTTATGTAGGTACATAGTTGGCATTTTATAGTTAGAAATGGTACACTAGGATGCTGAATATGACGTTACCTTGCAGACTATAAAAGGTTGAAGACCTAAAACTAACCTTTAGCCAGCAATTAGGGGCTTGCGCCGCAGAGAAGACTGAATTTATTTTCTGAGGGAGGTGTGGGCGACTGAGGTTTTCCTCGAAGATCAAGGACCATGGCATGTGATAGCTGAAACCGAGCTCCTGTTGGCGGGCTCTACCTCTCTGCTCTGCGATGCTCACATGTGGCAAGCTGGATAATGAGCTAACTTCTAAGTGAGAGGGCTCTGATTTGTATTCAGACCTGTGAGGTATATAGTTTACTCTTTTAGCCATCCTTATTTAAACCAGACCCCCAATGCCATGTCACTGCCATGTTGTATAAACGGCTGCTTTTCCTCCCGGTATTGTAAAGGGCTCGGTCTGGGCTGGCCCCAGTTCATGCGCACAGAAGACACCGCTGCAGACAGCTAAGACCATTCCTCCTGTATTCCATAGTAAAGCCATCCCCTCAGCAATGCCCAGTTGCATCTGTAATTTTTGGTTTAACACACACTGATTTGTACTAATAAATATTTTAAATTTTACTGAGTTTATCTTATTATTATACTGGTCAATAGAATTTTTTTTAACCGCCGTCATCTTGTGCACTTGTTCATATGCAGACACATGGAAGGTTGCTCACTGAAGCACTGTTTGCCAGAGCACAAATTGTCAGCCAATAAGGAAACAGAAATATAACATGGCACATCCAGACGCCTGTTAAAATGAATGCAAGGTGTCCTAGTCATCTCGTGCTGCTGTAACTCAAATACCACAAGTGGGTGACTTTAACAAAGAGAAGTTTATTCTCTTACAGTCCCGTAGGCTACAAGTCTGAATTCAGGGCGTCAGCTCCAGGGGGAGGCTTTCTCTCTTTGTTGGCCCTCTCTTCAATCTTCCCGCGGACTAGGAGCTTCTCCACACAGGGACCCCACTTCCAAAGGACGCGCTCTGCTCCCAGCACTGCTTTCTTGGTGGTACGAGGGCCCCCCTCTCTGCTTGCTTCCCTTTCCTTTTTATCTCTTCAGAGACAAAAGGTGGTGAAGGCCACACCCCAGGGAAACTCCCTTTACATTGGATCAGGGATGTGACCTGGGTAAGGGTGTTACAATGCCACCCTGATGCTCTTTAACATAAAATTACAATTACAAAATGGAGGACAACCACACAGTACTAGGAATCATGGCCCAGCCAAGTTGATACACACATTTTTTGGGGGGACGTAATTCAATCCATGACACAGGGCCTGTCCCCGTGCTGGTGCGTGTGGATGAGCCCTCAGAGCTGTGCCTGGTCACACCGTGAACTGTGGGCCCACTGAGTGAAGCAAGTTGAAGAACTACAAATGCATATAAGCTTACACAAAACCCTACTATATGTTCGTTATGACTGTGTGTGTGTGTGTGCGCGTGTGTTTAGTAACGTAAAAGAAGACTCAGAAGGAAACATGGACCCCTGGTGGTGCTTACCTTTGGGGAGGAGAGAAGTGAGCTGGATTGGGAGGACAACAAAGGTCATGCAATGCATCAGTAATTATTTATTTTGTGAAACATCTGAAGCCAATATGAAAAAATGATAGCATTTGGTGATTTCAAGATGTTTATCTTACTGGTTTCTGTATTTTACTGTGTTAATTTTTTTATTTGTTCCCATATAAAATTTATACATACCTTGTTATGTGACTCTGATTGCTCTCCCCATACTGTGACAGCACACTCCTCCTTTACACCCCTGATTCCCTATGTCCATTCAACCAGCTCCTAACCCTCTCTGCTTTCCCATCTCACCTCTGGAAAGAAGCTACCCGTTTCATCTCTTGTATCAAGCTGCCCGTTTAGTGTCTTGTGTCTACTTGAGCTAAGAGGCACACTCCTCACGAGTATCACTTTATGTCCCACAGTCCAGTCTGAAGAGTTGGCCTCAGAAATTGTTTTAGTTCTGGGCTGATAGAGAATCCAGGGGCCATGCTTTCCAGGGTTCTTCCAGTCTCGGTCAGACCATTAAGTCAGGTCTTCTTACCAGAATTTGAGTTCTGCACCCCACATTTTTCCTTCTCCATCCAGGACTCTCTGTTGTGTTCCCTGTCAGGATGGTCATTGGTGGTAGCCTGGCACCATCTAGTTCTTCTGGTCTCAGGCTGATGAAGTCTCTGGTTTATGTGGCCCTTTCTGTCTCTTGTACTAACACTTTCCTTCTGACTTTGGTGTTCTTCATTCTCCTTTACTCCAGGTGGTTGGGACCAATTGATGCATCTTAGATGGCCGCTTGCTAGCTTTTAAGACCCCAAATGCCACTCACCAAAGTAGGGTGCAGAACTTTTTTTTATAAACTTTGTTATGCCACTTGACCTAGATGTCCCCTGAAAGTGTGGTCCCCAGACCCCTACCCCTGCTACTCTGTCCCTCAAAGTGTTTGATTGTATTCAGGAAACTTCTTAGCTTTGGTTTAGTCCAGTTGTGCTGACTTCC